GTATAGCAGATTGTTACTCCTTTTCTTTTCCTTCCTTCTCTCACTAGAGGGGAACCTCTGAGTCCCATGATTGCCTCAATTATAAAGCCAAACTAAAATGAATCACTAAAGCATTATTATCAAGGTAGCCTTCACTTTTCTCCCTTCACTTAATGTGAAAGAACATGGCTGCCTAGATTTGATCAAGCCCTAATAAAGAGCGCACAAACATTAAATTGCCACCCTGCAGCCAAGTAGAAAGCCAATAGCTCTTCGTATTATTTATTTTTTTAAAATGGCAAAACTCCTGGGGAGGGAGGGAACACTTTGCTATACTTATTAAAATTGATAACACAAGTTCCATATCCTTAGGCTGACAAATGATACTACAGTCTTTTGTTCCACACGCTAATTTTACTTGCTTCATGCTGGTCACTAGCAGATGGTCTTGTGCTTAAATCACGTTAGTAGCAGATATGAAGTAAAGGATCATTAAATTATTAACATCTACATTTTTTTTGTCAGTAAAATGCAGACAGTTTTCAATGCGTCTTGCTGTACCAACTAAGACGATTACCATTCTTATTAACCTGCATCATGGTACATGCTAATAATACCTCTATTTTAAGTGCTTTAAAGGATGCATTTGGCCATGAAATGCTACCTTCAAACAGAAGTGCATTTTTAGATTCAAGTTTATCTACTTGAAGGGGATATTAATCTAAATGGTTTAGGTATTAAATCAATAAGAACTCAAGGGAGAGTCCTCCAATTTAAATTGCATTTACCAACTACTGTATTGGTTTTTCCATTTAACATCTAACCTGACATAAATTTAGTTGACAGACAAATAGATTGTAACATGCAAATTCTTCATATTACTGCTGTGTGTGTGTGTGTGTGTGCGCGCGCGATATAAAATATGACATGACTGCTGTAATGTACAAATTCCAACATGTAGTTTTCTTATTTATTTATTTGTATTTACGTTGCTATTTTACAGGACAGAATTCAGATCGAGCATGGAGCACTTAGGATAACAAATATAAGCCTGGCAGATGCAGGCATGTATCAGTGCATAGCAGAAAACAGACACGGGACTATTTTTTCCAGTGCAGAGCTGAGTGTAATAGGTGAGTAATTTCCCCGAAAAAAATGAATAATCTCGCTCAGCCGAACCCAATTTTGCTAAATCTAGATGTTTGAGCCAGAAGTGCCTCAGTGAACGTCTTGCACAATGAAAATGTGTTTAAAGGAATCTTTAAGCATGAGATTAAACTTAAGTTAGGGATCCATGTCAGAGGATTTCCTACATCACTCCATCTTCTCTTGTCAATATAAGTTACTAAGCATGAAAATTTGCAGCTTTCCACATGCTTCTTGCTGTTTAGAGCCCTTGGTATATCACTCTCTTAAACAGCAAAGTAGAAAGCTATTATAGTGAAGTTGATGTGAAACACACTGAACAGTAACAATCTACTCCCTGGATGTGTGGAGTCTGACTGTCTTTCAGAAACATTGCAAAACCTTTCTCCTTGAGTGCTCTTTCCAACATAAGAAAGAGTAAACTCAGAACCTGATCACCTGTTTCAGCACCTTCAACCAAAGCAAAAAATATCCTGTATCCCAGGCTGAGTCTTGACCCTAAATAGAGAAAAATGTCATAGACTCCATGAAGTCCTTTATAGACTTCATAGTTGTTGATTTTTACATGTAAATCACTTGGATGTGGTAGCTGATAGAAATATAAATCCTATCAAAAGAAGGCAGACAGACTTTGGGAAATGGATTGTGCCTGTGGTAGAGATATATGTATGAATGTATTAATGAAAAGACTGGTTACAAACTGTATTGATGTATTTCAGTGTCCAAATTACACTTCTTTTTATTCATCTTCTTAAAGTAAAATTGCCCTGTGACTTCACTACAGGAGGATTTCACTGATATGCATTTTTCCTTTGTATTTGCCTACTAGGAAGAGGTGCCGAGCAGCCTTTTTATCACAGATTTGGCCATAAACATGAGAGACTTTGTAAAAGCACTATGCAATCTTACACCCCTTTTAAATGCAAATAAACATGTTGGGCCTGGCATATATCTCTCTGTTACACTGCTCTAAATGATAAGTCACTAATATTCTTACCTATTGTAGTCTTTCTGAGTCTTTTGCAACAGAACTATTGCTCTATTATTTTTCAGTAGTAAAAAACTGAGTGAAAGCTGGGACGTGGCATTTTCTGAGGCGTACTCTGAGTCTAACAAGGGGTTTCTTGATTCTAAAAAGGTTGAGAACCACTTGCATTGAGTGAGGTGTCTTTCCTAGACCTCATTTGTAATGCACAGCATCACTTAACCACAGCTTTTGCATGTTCCTCAGTACCTTAAGATCAAAGGGATTTCAGATGAATGTGGAGCCAGCTAGGCAGTTTTGCAAGCATCTCAAGAACTGAAATCCTATCCTTACTTTGCAGGACTTGAAACTAGCATGCTGGAAGGTCATGAGGTCCCGATTCACCTATGACTTCTTTTGGTGTGTATCAGGAGGAGCTCTGTTGAATTCAGTGGAGTTGTGGCAGCATAAAACTAGTATAAGATGGGAATCAGGCCCAATGTGACTTCGAGGAGTTAGGAGGAAGTTAGGAGCAGAACGGAGAGTCTCTGGATTTCAGGCCACCTATACATGTACAGCGAGGCTGCTCTGAGCAGATCGAGAAATGATTAATCGAGTCTGCTGGAGCGTGGTAATTACTGCGCTCCAGCAGACTCCAGTGTCACATGTATCAGCAACCCCGTGCTGAAAAATGGTGGAGGGGGCACTTTAAATAAAGCTTGTTCAACAGGCTTTAGTTAAAGCACCCCTGCTGCCATTTTTCCGCCCAGGGATGCCGATACACGTGATGCCCCGGGTGCTTTAATTAGAGCAGCTC